TCCAAGCCAACGCGCCCTTGCTCAGAGCCAGCAGCAAGTTCCCAGGTCCCAGGAGTGACCCGATGAGTGGGCAGTGGGAATCTGGTGGGAGGAGGAGGAGGAGGAGGAGGAGGAAGGCTACCGGTAAAAGCAATTTGTTTATTCACATAAGGGGCATACCCCTCTCGGCGGGTCAGTCTGGTTTCTTTCATAGGAGAGAAATGAACCGAAATGATTAATTAACGCCGTGATCCAATTACTGGGAGTTTGCAGAAGGAGCATGGTTTTTCTCTTTAAACTGTCCCCATGAGGATCCTGTTGATAGCAGGTTTTGTCATGGCTGGGGTTTTGTTGGGTTTGGTTTTGGTTTTTGGTTGTTGCTGTTTTTTGTTTTTTTTTTTTTTAAATTGAACTGACAAACATCTCTATAGGAAAAAAAAAAAAAAGATAAAAACAGGGAATAAAACCAGTGAGACCACAATGAGTGGCTGACGCAGAGTTGTCCCTAGCACACCTTCTCTCCGGAGCCCTTCTCTGCCAGCCCTGCCCAGCAGAACCAAAAGAGGTGAAGAGGGTTGGGGAGAGCCCAGCTGAGGTGGCAAATGTGGCTCTGCAGAGAGGGTGATAGCGAGAGAAGGGGGGGAAATGGAGGCTGTTTGCAAGGGGCTGCTGCTTTCTGCGTGAGCACAGCTCCTCTCGCCGCATGCAGAGAGAGTTCCATGTGCTCAAGCTGACCCCTTCCCCTAAATCAGGGCTTGGATGGGCGCCTTCTGGAGAAGCAGGTGTTGTCCTTCAGTCTCTGCTCCGTCCGGCACAGGGTTATGCCCTCGTTGCTCTCCAGTAAGCCAAAGGAGAAGGTTTGATTTGCGTTTCAGCATCCATTCTGGGCTGGTTCTAAAAATGCGTATTTAAAGGACATGTGTTTTGGAGAGATGTGAGGGTGTGGGACCTGGCGCAGCCAAGAAATGGAAGTTTGGACCAGATTGTTCCCATCTTCTTCCCCTCCTGTCTTCATCGCTCTCCCAGCATCTCTCACTGACTGTTCCTGAGCCCACCTTAGCACCAGTGTCCATCAGGAGTGGGTCAGGCATCCGTGGTGGGGCTCAGAACCTGGGCCATGTTGAAGCATCTTTGAGACAGCACTTGGAGCCACACCAATGCAGTCCCTCTTCTGAGGGTAGGTAGAAAAACAGCTGCCAGGTTCTAGGAAAACTCACATGCTCCTCTGCTCAGGGTCCCAGCAGGCTGGAGGGTTGGGGTCTTAATGGGTGGCTGTTATCAACTCAGAGCCAAGTGGAGGAGCCCTGAGCATCCCTCAGGAGAGCACTGCCCACCCCAACATCCCTTTAACCCTCTGGGCACAGGAAAGGCTCTCTGCATCCAGGCCCTTGGATGTGCTGGGGTTGTCTTTTGCGCTATATTCAGATAAATTCATTCGGTGCAGCTTCGAGGGAGAATTAGGCATTTTCTGGCCAAATGAATGTGGGGCGAGTGCTCCCTGTGGGGGGTTGCCCCCTACGCCAGGATTTTACTGGCGCATAGGGTGAGGGTGTCTGGCCTGCAGGTTCTCCCCACCTTGATGTTTAGCAGCAGGGTTTTAGCAGCAGATGTGCAAACATCACTGCTCCCCCTCCCCAGCAGACACCCAGGTTGTCCCCCTCCCTGTATGCGTGTTGGCATCCATCCCACCTTCCCTGTGGATGGATGCAATGGCCCAGGATTGACTCTAGGCCAGGACGCCGTCACTTGACCTGGCTTCAGACCTTGAGTTCCCCACCACAGCGAGCACTGGCAAGCTGGGCTCTGCTGGAGATGTTCCCCATCCCAGTCCCTCGCGTGCCGGGCACAGCTGCTCACGCTTTTGCCCTGGGGCTGCTCCCAGGACCCTCTAGAGATGCCGGGAGGCTGCACCGCCTGGAGGAGAGACTCAAACAAAGGCTCGGTTTATACCTCGTAAGATGTAAGTTTGCTGAGAAAAATTAACTTCACCAGCCTGTCCAAGCCTCCACGCTCAGCAGCTGCAGGCACAGGGCTTTGACCCTCTGAAAAATCCCCCAAACCATTGCTGGAGGTCCTGCAAATCACAGCCGTAGGAGTGACATCGCCCCTCCTGTCTCTCTGCGACCCTGTCCCCATGGCCCCTGGTGTCCTTGTGCCCCACTCCGTGCATGAGGCAGCAGCAGAGGTGCCCAAGTGTCCTGTCCCCTTCGTGTCCCCCCCAGCCCTGCATGTGCTGGTGCAGAGGACCCGCAACCCAACCCAGGCGCCGTTTCCGTGACTCAGAAAGGGCTGGAGAGGGATGTGGGGGGGGGGAATTACAGGGCTGTTTGCTTGTCTTCAAGAGCCTTGCAGAGGAGTTTCATCCTAGGTCAGCTGGCGCAGGAAGAGCAGCAGCTGGGAAGTTTGTCCTTTAAAGGCAGGACTCGGTGTAAACCCTGGAGCTCCTGGGACGCAGCGGGCTCAGCCAGAGCGATCACAGAATCACAGAATCTTCTAGGTTGGAAGGGACCTTAACGATCATCTTGTCCAACCGTCAACCTGACTTTGACAAGAATAGACACCCACACAACAAACAAGAAGCATCACCATCACTAAACCATACCTCCCAGCACTACATCAACCTGTCTTTTGAACACCTCCAGGGATGGTGCCTCAACCACCTCCCTGGGCAGCCCATTCCAATGGCTGAGAACCCTTTCAGTGAAAAAATTTTTTCCTAATATCCAGCCTGAACCTGGATTGATGTGGTACGGAGCTAGTGAGGCTAGCTCTGCTCCTCTGGCCGAGAAAGCCAGGGGGAGAAGCAGCCCTTCTGCTACAACTGCTGTTAAATCTAATATATTTCATGGTGCCTTGCAGGTTGTAGCAGCAGCATGGCTTTGGGGGGCTGGCACCAAGTGCCTCCACTGGCGGATGGGGCTGAGGTCTCACCCACAGGTTTAAGGCTTGCGGCAGAGCTGGTTTATGTTGGCCAGTTAAGGGGTTAATGTCTTCAGGCTCCTTAAGCAGGGTGAGATTGGTTGGTCTGTGGGAAACTCAGACCTCCAGTTGTGCAACGCCGAGGCCTGAAAACATCGCTCCGCAAACACCATGTCCCAGGCCCCGGCGGCCGCTCCGGGGTCACGGGGCAGCTCTCCAGAGGCAGGCACGGCGCCTCGCGCAGATCCCTCCTGCCTCCCAAGCCCTCCCCGGGTTGATGTTGTTTGGGTTCCCCCCCCGTCTTCCACCCCCACGGCCGTGGAGGGACAGGCATCCTTGTGGGATCTTTGCATGACTGAGAGGGCAAGGAACGTGCTCTGTATCTCCCCATCTCTAGTGCCTTGGGGGTAGATTGGATCCCTGCTCTGCTGGCTGGTGTGTGTGTGTGTCCCATTTAAAGCCAAAAAAGTGCATGCATGTGTGCGGAGAAGGGTGGAGAGCAATGACACCCTACTGGCATCAGGAGTGAGTAACCTGGGTTTGGGTCTGCCTTTCTGCAGCCCTTAGGAGGAACATCTAGCACAGTCATCTCCAGGCTGCTGCAGAGCTCAGATCACCCACCATGGCCCATAAGTGAGGTCCAGCTCTTGAAACCTTCTGCCACCATGTGTGGTCACAGGCAGTGAGGTGGCTAAAACCCCTGCCCAGTGCTGCCCGTGGCATTAGTGTCAGGCCGTGACAGGCTGAGGACCACCATCCTGTGGTGGGAGCGGTGACTCCTGGGCAGAGCTGGGCTGCCCAAGCACAAAAGCTGCAGCCCATGAAGGTTTCCAGCCTCAGCACATCTCCTGCTCTGCCTGGCCGGGAGCTGGTGGGACCCTCCAGGGAAGAGAGACCTTCTGAGGTTCCTAGCTCTCGGAAGAGTTTCTTAGGGCTCTTCTGTGGGGGAGATAGGTAATCCCTCCCTGCAGCCTGAAGCTATTCCCACCTCTTTCCTCTCCATCCCTCCCCTCCTCTGTTGTCACCATGTTTCCCACCCGCTCTCCTCCCCTGGCCCCGACATTTCTCGTGCTGCCCATCCATGCCCTAGGCTCCCCTTCCCACCTTCTCCTGCAGCTCCCATTCTTCACTCTGTCCCCTTGCTCAGGTGTCACCTCCAATGCGAAACCCTCTGGCAGGTCTTGTGGCCAAGTCTAATTAATTTTCAGCTTCCTTTTTCATTTGCACCCCAAAGATTCCTCTCTCCTCTCCGTCCCTGGGACTAGGGATCTCCTCTGTCACATCCACACCCATCCAGCGGGGTCCTTGCTCCTGCCTGATTTTCTGCCCTTGGCTCAGGGCATCAGCTCTCTTTTCTCTCACCCCTGGCTCAGCTGGCTTGTTTATCCTCTCGAAGTCCTGCAGAGCCTCGCCCTGCTCCATAGGGCCGAGGAGCTTTGGCTCACATTGCCCACTCTTTAAAATTTTAGATGGACACCTTGGTGTTTTCTCTCTGCGGTGCCTCAGCTCTGGGAGGAGTTGCTTATTGAGATTTATGCTGCTTCCACCTCATCCCCGGCCAACACCACATCCTTTATGCGGTGATATCAGGTTCAGGTGTCGGATCTGGATATCAGATCTTTATGATTAGATCTCAGGAAGAAATCCTTTACTCTGAGGGTGGTTGGATCTGGATATCAGATCTTTATTATTAGATATCAGGAAAAAATCCTTTACTCTGACGGTGGTGAGACTGTGGAACAGGTTGCCCAGAGAAGCTGTGGCTGCCCCATCCCTGGAGGGGCTCAAGGCCAGGCTGGATGGGGCTTGGAGCAACCTGGTCTGGTGGGAGGTGTCCCTGCCCAGGGCAGGGGGTTGGAACTGGATGATCTTTAAGGTTCCTTCCAACCCGAACCATTCTATGATCCTTGATTGCCTGAGCTCTATCCTCACCCCATGGCCCATGAGGACCCGAGGGAGGGGGCAAAGAGGGTGGGTGCAAGGTGCTATGGCTCTCTGCGTGGGGGCCAGCACCCACCTTGCCCGTTGCCTGAAATGTATCCTCACCCCATGGCTCATGAGGACCTGAGGGAGGGGGCAAAGAGGGTGAGTACAAGGTGCTATGGCTCTCTGCGTGGGGGCCAGCACCCACCTTGCCCAGTGCCAGCCCTGGCTCCTGGGGAGAGTGGAGTAGGCTGGCACCCTGGGTGGGTGGTGAGGACCTGGTGTGAGCGACCACAGCTGTACGGGGCCGTGGCAGGGTGAGGGGGCTTCCCTGCAAAGGGCTTCTCCAAAGAGGGGCTGAGTCCATCCCCCTTGCTGTCCCCAGGCAAGACCCGTCCTTGTCCCTGGTGCAGGGAGAGCTGCTCTTCTAAGCAACCAAATCCAGGGTCTTGCAACTCTCTGCCCTCCATCCCCCCTCTCCCTCCTCCAGTGCCATCTCTCCATCCCGGCCACTAACCTCTCCCTGGGGACAGCCCAGCTAATCCAGGCAGCCACTTGTCGCCATAAATCCTCTGGTGTCCTCACCCTCCTTCCCCTCTCTGCCCCTCTGAGCCCAAAAGCCCTTCACCTGGCAGCAGGAGAAACCTGTGGCCGGGTTATTTGTGCTGCCTACAAACAGCTGGTTCCTATTAAGGCTTCAGCCCGGCGATAGGAAAGAACGTGAGCATCTCTCTGAGGCAGAGAGCATTAGTGCAGTAGAAGGCAGGAGACAAGCACAGCTCCAGCCCAGGCTCAGCTGAGAGCCCAGCACCTCCCTGCCATGGGCTGAGCTCTGCCACCAGCCCTTGGGGTGGCTGAGGCAGAGGAAGAGGACAGCTGTGAGCCTTCATCACCCCACCGTGATGTTACCTGCCCAGGAGCTGCTGGGGAAGCCGCCGGTGCCCCGGAGCCATGGGGTGGGCACAGTGGGGTAAGGCAGAGGTGGGCTTGCATGGTGTCTGCTGGCTGCACTTGCTGTTAGCTTTCCACCGACTGGGTGTTTTACTGGGCCTAATAATTGGGTGACAGGTGGTTAATTAATTGTCAGAGCGGCCAGCGTGCTGGAAGGTTAATTATAGGAGTGACTTTTAACTGCTCAAACCCACTTTCTTGCCAATTTGCTTCTTGCCTGGCAGTGCTGGGGGTGGGTGGTGGGTGGCCCCTTAGGAGATGTGTGTGAGATGGGGCACTTTAGGGATACGGGCAAGTACTGGGGGGGCAGCTTGGGCAGATGGGGGTGCAGCCATGCCAGCTGTGGGATGCTGGGGGCTACTTAGGTGGGTGGATTGTAAGCCATGGCTCTGACCTGCAAGCACCACCAGGGCACGGGTGTGCACTGCCTTGGAGAGGATGCCTTGGTTTTTGCTTTGAAACCCGGTGATGTTCACCTAGTTACAAGCAGCATCAGAGGCAGGGGAGGCTGCTGGTGGGAGCTCTTGGGTTGGGTGACTGCAGTGCTCCCTTCTGGCCCCGGACACAGGAATTTTTCACAATGTGATGGACGAATACGTGCCGAGTGTGGTGGTGGTGGGGGGGGTTTCCAGCCCCCTTGCCTCCCCCTGAAAGCTGGCAGCTCCCCTGCCAGCTCACTGCTTCTCTGGTGGCTCCAGGTGAAGCCATCAGAGACTCCCAGCTGGTGAGGATGGAGGAATTTACTTTGCCTCATCAGAACCAGTTGAACAGCAGAGGAAAAAAAGAGGAATAAATTATTCAAAGGAAAAATAAAAATGCCCAGATCAACCCCATACATTACTGGCAAGGAGCAATTCCTCTGGCATGATGGCTCAGGTCTCCTCTGGAGCAGGGTAAGGACTTCAGGGGCTCACTGACCCTTGCAATGCCAGAGGGGTGCCACCTTAATGCAGCAAAACCCATTGACCCCCTGTCTCCTTTCTGTTTTCCTGGTGGGTTTATTGCCTTCACAGCTGCCAATGCAGAGGCAGCCTGGCACCAGCCTGGCAGGGCCCTCCCCAACCATGCAAACCCAGGCTAATCCCCCCACCGGGCATGGATTCCCCCCTTGATGCCCTCCCCATATCTTGCATTTCGAATGTGCCTGTTCCTGGTACTTAGGGGTTCTGTTTTCACACTCTTTGAGGGGTGTGAATCTGTCGGCCAGAACAAACCCTCACTAGATGTAAACTGGTGCGGTGACTCAGGAACTAATTAATGGCTATTAGATAACGCAATTAGCACCACAAACTGTCACCCCACCCCGGCAGAGTGGCGCCCCTTCCCTTTCTCTCCCTGCTCACCCGGGCCAGCTGTGGCTGCCCAGCCCTGCGTCGCATCCGTGGTTTGGCATGATGGAACTGATCCCATCCAGATTTTCACCCTCTGGAGCTTTTAGGAAGGCCAAGACAAGCAGAGGGCTGGTGATGCTGGACCTGATGTGTGCCATCCCTTCCAGGATGTCCCTGGTCCAGCTTCCCTCCCTCCTGGAGTCAGGCAGTGCCCAGAGCCCAGCAGAGCTGGCAGCTGTGGTCACCCCATCCATCCCTGCCTGGGCTGGGAGGTCTCTTTGGCTTTGCTGTTCCTCCAGAGGGCTGATTGCACCCATGCAGAGCAAAATCCCATTTCCTCTGGGAGCAGCTAACACTTGGAAGCCTCTGAGAACGTAATGGTTTCTCTGATTCCTGTCCTGCCCCTGTGAACCTCTTCTTCCCCTGACTGGCGTGTGAGCGTGGGGCTTGGTTTCTGGTGGTGATGCTTGCTGGTGTGTTCAGCAGCCCTGCTCTTTCCTAGAGAACTCTCTTCAGGCCACACATGGACCAACCGTGACTCTGTCCCCACCTGCCCCTGCTCCCCAGACCCTGAGGATGAGGATGGGGGCTGGAACAGAGGCAGTGACAGAGTAGGGAGGGGGCATCTGGTGATGGTGTGAGGTTCAGGGGCCGTGGAAGGGCGGGAGGAGGCTGTGCACAACAGGGAACAGAGGCAGGGGACCCTGGAGCAGTAGGGCTGCTTGCTCCAGGAGCTCGAGGTGTCACCATCACATGGACATGTGTAAGACCAGCATCTCCTGCTGCCTTCTCTGCACTGGTGGGGAGGGTGGCCATCTCCTGCCACGCGGGGAGCCACGAGGAGGACAGGAGGGAGCAAGACCTTCCACCCCACGTGGGTTGAGTGCTCCATCACTAACTGTACCCGACAGAGCACCTGCCTCTAGCCAGTGTGGGCTTTTTGGGTATGGGATGACCATCTGCAGATGATGACAGGGCTTTCTCCTTTACTACCTGGCAGTGAGCTGCAAGGCACTTTGCAGGGGCTGACAGGCTGGGAAGGCTCACCAGAGTGGCACACAAGGTGTGCATCAAGGAAACAGCAGGAGCTTTCTCTTGTGGCCTTGGATGTCACCCTGTGACCAAGGAGGGGTGGGCAAGGACTGGCTTTGCTCTCCTGCTTTGGAACTGTCTCCTTGCCCAATGGTGGTGGCACCCATCATCTGAGGCAGCAGTGGGGATCCTGCTTTGCTGAGTGCTGCCTGAAAAAGGTAGACCTCACCTGAATGACAGCCTTCTCTGCTTGCATCTGCGTCTGTCCATGCCTCATCTCTGTGTCCATACCCTGCAAGATGCTGGGTGGGAAGGGAGAGGCATTTCCCTGCCTTGAGGACACACTTGCTGAGTGCTGCAAGGGCCATAGAAACCCTTAGACCAAAAGATGCCATCGGTGAGGAGCGGGAGGCTCCTAGTGGCTTCCATGGAGAGGAGAAAATCAGACATAAAATCACTGCCAGAAGTCTTAGGGAAGGAGGAGGCTGGTGATGGAGTTTGTAGCTGACTGGTGAGGGCAGGTCCAGGAGAGCACCTATTGAGAGCTACAGACAATGGCATGTGCAGGCCAACTGGTGTCACAGGTAGGGGCCTCAGCCCCAGGAGCCCTTCTGAGGTGGCCTCTGGGCTTTATGGAGGCTGCAGTGCTGGCATGGAGGCAGGGGGCAGAGGGGGATAGAGACAGGGAGGGTGATGTGGGAACGGGGGGGGCGTGAGGGGAAGAAATGCACTTCTGGGGGTCCCTGAGGAGAGAGAGAGAGCATGTGCAGGGAGAAAGGCCAACTGGTGTCGCAGGCAGGGACCTCAGCCCCAGGAGCCCTTTTGAGGTGGCCTCTGGGCTTTATGGAGGCTGTGGTGCTGGCATGGAGGCAGGGGGCAGAGGGGGATAGTCTTAGAGTGGTCCCTTGGTGTCTGGGAGCTTCCCATCATTGCAGGCAGTGATGGCAGCTGGTGTGAGAGTGGAGCTGGAGTCATGCCGTGGCCCCATCACACCCTCTCCCCAGCTCTCCCACATGCTCCTTCTCTCCTCAGGCACATCCTGGGGGTGCAGGCAGAGCTGGGGCTGCCTGTGGGCTGTGCCCCCCATCCAGACCCTCCCCACACAGCCCCAGGGTGTGCTCCACCCTACAGGCAGGATCTACGGCCGGTGCCTACACAGGCATGACACACAGCTTGGCCAGCTGCTCTGAGACCTGATGAATTCATAGCATCCTTGGCCTGCTCCCAGCTCCCATCATTGCAGGCAGTGATGGCAGCTGGTGTGAGAGTGGAGCTGGAGTCATGCCGTGGCCCCATCACACCCTCTCCCCAGCTCTCCCACATGCTCCTTCTCTCCTCAGGCACATCCTGGGGGTGCAGGCAGAGCTGGGGCTGCCTGTGGGCTGTGCCCCCCATCCAGACCCTCCCCACACAGCCCCAGGGTGTGCTCCACCCTACAGGCAGGATCTACGGCCGGGGCCTACACAGGCATGACACACAGCTTGGCCAGCTGCTCTGAGACCTGATGAATTCATAGCATCCTTGGCCTGCTCCCAGCTCAGGGAGGCAAAGGCAGCTCCATGCTGTCCCAGCGAGCTCAGAGAGGGTGTCTGGGGTAGAATAAAGAGACAGCAGGATGGAGAAAGCTGAAAATGGGGAAAGAATGGGGGTGATAGGCTGGGGCATGGCAGAAGATTGCTAAGGAGGGTGAGCGGTGTACACTTCTTCTGTCTCGTACATCTGTGTTGTAGGTATCTCCACACCCTTGACCATTTTCCTTCCCCCTCCTGCCTTCAAAGGGGAGATGGCTTTATTTTCACCCTTCAGTGAAGGCTCCTTTTCAAAACACCCATCCTTGACCCCCGGGGCTGTGGTTGCCTCTGTCTCAGCACACCAGTTTCCAGCATCACCTCTGGGTGGCATCCAAAGACACGCCAGTGTCCTCCTTCCTCCTTCATTTCTCCTGAGCCCAGCAAGCGGTTTTTCGGAGCGGGACCAGCTGGAGTCTTCTTGCTTTGGGTGGGCAACTGAGAACACGAGCCTCTGTCAAGGCTGATAATTAATTAAACGCCCTTAGGAGAGGCTGCCGGTTCATGAACTACGGGGAAAATACGAAACCCTCGTTTTAGTGGACACAAAGGAGAGGTTTGTTTTCAAGATTTTCTTCCTGGAAGAGCTGGGGTAGATGTCTGCTTGATTGCTAGCTTGTCTGATGGGTTTGATTAGCTGTTACAAGAATGACAGCTAAATCTCCCCATCTTACCAAAGCGAGGAATTTTAAACTCATTTCAATTGTACTGCCACCAACTCCCCGAACCGCCACGATTATACATTTCCAAGTCATTTTATACACGTGTCACCTCTTCTTGCATCCCTGGCTGGGTGCCCAGGAAGGATGGCAGCAGAAATCACTTTTTTCCTCTCCCTTGATGCCATCCCTCGTGCCTGGAGCTCGGTGCAAAGCTGGACCCGGGTGGTGGTGGAGAGGCAGGTCTGATGGGAAGCTCCTCTGCCCATCCTGCCTCACCCAGCGCCTTTGCTTCTCCTTCCCCTTCCAGGAAATTCTCCGTCATCCCAACACATCAATTTTGGTTCGTTGACTTATTTTTTTTTTTTTTTTCTAAGGTCCATTCTCCTCTCACTGTGGGGGGGGGTTAACCACAGGCATCTGGGTTTGGATGATGGCAGTCTTTCTGTCCGTGATTTTTGCTGCCTTTCATAAATAATTCCACGGAGCAGGCTGAGATGGCTGGCTTCATCCCCTACGTCTCCACAGCTGGTGTGGCTGCAGCTGCAGTGTGATGTGGGGTTGGGAGAAGGGGACAGCATTTCCCAGCATCGCTGGCTGGTGGCACTCATACGGTCCCTTCCCTATCCCGTGCCTGTCGGGGCTGGGCTATGAACCAGGCCAAGACAAATTACTGGGTTTCATCCTTCTTTGGATTGTCTGCAGCCATCTCCGAGCGTGTCGCCCCTTTGGCAACGCCACCTCAGTTGGAAAGGTTGGTGCTGCCCCTCAGGGAGATGTTTGTGGGACTTGCATGAACTCCTCGGGGCTGGAGCGGTAGCGTAACTTGCTGTTTTTCCCATCCCAGATTTCATCTTCCAGAAGGAGCTGTTTGCTGCCAGAGACACGGGTGAGCTGTGAGAGCCATGACAGGGGCTTTGGGGAGCACTCTGCCTTTGGGTAACCCCTCCATCCCTCGGGGAGGTGTTCCCTGTCTCTCCTCCATTGCTAAATGGGGGACACAAGAGGTGCCTTTAAAGAGGTCCTGGGGTGAAGGCTGCAATGGCAGGAGACTTTTGAGCCCTAGACAAGAGCAGCGCTGGCCTGGGAAGCTGAGAAGGCAGGAAATGCTGCCTATGGTGGGTCTGGGCAGCCTTCAGCCAGTGCCTGCTCCTCTTCCTCAGGGCTGTGCCATGGGGTGCTGCAGGGCTCAGCCTGCACGCAGGGACACGTTGCTTCTGCAGGTCCTCGGTGTGGGTGGGTGCTACAGGAGAACACCTAAGGGGTGCTCCTCACCCTCCCCTGTTGTAGCCGTGGGGTCCTCATGCTCCTTTTGGGAAAGGGCTGGGCAGCAGGAGTGGGAGGTGGGAAGGGAGGGAGAGCGAGGAGAAGCGATGCCATGAAGCTACAGCAGCTCACGGCTGCGGTGCTGTGGCTGGAGGTGCCAGTAGGTGTAATATTCTCCTGTTTGTGTCCCCCCCTTCCTTTGCAGACCCCATGCACAACCTCTCTACTCAGCCCTGGCAGGCGAAGATGGCAAACCTGACCTATGACAACTTCACCCTGGGCAACCGCTCCGAGGTGACCATCCAGCCTCCCACCAACTACAAGACGGTGGAGCTGGTTTTCATCGCCACGGTCACCGGCTCGCTCAGCCTGGTCACCGTGGTGGGGAACATCCTGGTGATGCTGTCCATCAAGGTGAACCGCCAGCTCCAGACTGTCAACAACTACTTCCTCTTCAGCCTGGCCTGTGCAGACCTCATCATCGGAGTCTTCTCCATGAACCTCTACACAGTCTACATCATCAAAGGCTACTGGCCGCTGGGGGCCGTGGTGTGCGACCTGTGGTTGGCCCTGGACTATGTGGTGAGCAATGCCTCTGTCATGAACTTACTCATCATCAGCTTTGACCGGTATTTCTGTGTCACCAAGCCGCTGACATACCCGGCCAGGAGGACCACCAAGATGGCGGGGCTAATGATCGCGGCTGCGTGGATATTGTCCTTCATTCTCTGGGCCCCTGCCATCTTGTTCTGGCAGTTCATTGTGGGCAAGAGGACAGTCCCTGAGAGGGAGTGCTACATCCAATTCCTCTCCAACCCAGCGGTGACCTTCGGCACGGCCATCGCTGCTTTCTACCTGCCCGTAGTCATCATGACGGTGCTGTACATCCACATCTCCCTGGCCAGCAGGAGCAGGGTGAGGAGACACAAGCCTGAAAGCAGGAAAGAGAGGAAAGGCAAGTCCATCAGCTTCTTCAAGGGCCCCGTGGTCAAACAGAACAACAATAACTCCCCCAAGAGAGCGGTGGAGGTGAAGGAGGAGGTGAGGAATGGGAAAGTGGATGACCAGCCCTCAGCACAGACAGAGGCCACTGGCCATCAGGAGGAGAAGGAGACCTCCAACGAGTCCAGCACGGTCAGCATGACCCAGACCACAAAAGACAAGCCCACAGCAGAAATCTTGCCAGCAGGGCAAGGACAGAGCCCGTCCCACCCCCGGGTGAACCCGACTTCCAAGTGGTCCAAGATCAAGATTGTCACCAAGCAGAGTGGGACCGAATGCGTCACCGCCATTGAGATCGTCCCGGCTAAGGCAGGAGGCTCTGAGCACAACTCCCTGGCCAACAGTCGCCCAGTCAACGTTGCCAGGAAGTTTGCCAGCATCGCCAGGAGCCAAGTACGGAAGAAGCGCCAGATGGCAGCCCGGGAGAAGAAAGTCACCCGCACCATTTTTGCTATCCTGCTAGCCTTCATACTCACATGGACTCCATACAACGTGATGGTCCTCATTAACACCTTCTGTGAGACCTGCGTACCCGACACGGTGTGGTCCATCGGCTACTGGCTCTGTTACGTCAACAGCACCATCAACCCGGCCTGCTATGCCCTCTGCAATGCCACTTTCAAGAAAACCTTCAAGCACCTTCTCATGTGCCAGTACAGGAACATTGGCACAGCCAGATAAGCTGGCACTCAGGGACCACTTCAGCAACGTTACGGAAGCCCTTCCCTTTGCCGAGGAGGTGGGGTGTGTCCTCTGCTCCCCACTCACAACAGTGCAGACTGTGCAGTGATTGCAGGTGATGCCCTTCATCCAATGCTGACAAAGGTCCAAGGCACCCCTGAGCTGCAGCTCCTTCCAGTCACCCTGGGACCTGGGGACTAGCTTGGGGAGCCAGTGGGAAAGTCGGAGGTAAGAGGAGGAGATGTGGTCACCAGGAGCCTTTCCCAGCTCCCTGCTCTCGAGAGGCTGGCCCAATGTTTGCCCTAGGACTGAATGCCTCGTCTCCCCCATGACTGACTGTCTCCAGGGCATCAGAGCTTGTCTGCTGGATGCTGGATGCTTTCAATAGACACTTAAACCATTCATTACCCCAAAAAATGAAAAGAAACCAGGGCCAAATATTTGCCAGCCCTCTTGGACCAGGCTGGCTTGGGGCGTACTCATTGGGAGTCCTGCTGGCCCAGCCAGGCAGTCGAGATGGCACCCCAGCAGATGTGGCAAGCTCCTTTCTTTCCCTTCAGAGACACCATTGGACATCCTCATCCATGGACCAGGAGGAGAAATTTTTCCTTGGGCTTTGTCTATGCTCTCCCCTTCCTGCCCTCGGCCAGCAATTGGCTGGACGCACAGACAGACCAACCAAGCATCTCCCTCCTGGGTGAGGAGGATGAAACCCAGCCACCTCCTCCAAAGATGGAAACTAAAACTGTGAAGAAAAGCAAGTGGTGTGGTGCAGGACTTCTCTCCATGGCATGGGGGAACGTGGCCCCTGAGAAGTGGGCAGCAGCAACAGGGAAAATAACTGGCTTTGGGAGGGATGGGAGGAGCTGGGTGGTCTCAGAGGGGGTCGGGAAGAGGGTCTGCGATGTGGCATGGGTGCCCTGTGTCTCATCTGAGCCCTGAGTAGGTCCCCGTGGCCGGTGTAGGGAGGCCTGGTGCACGGATCCGGAGGTAGGAGAGGATGGTGGTGGCCCCCCCAGCCCCGCTCGTGCCCTGGGAGGTCCAGGGGAGGCCGAAGGAGCTGGCTGCTGAGCTTTGTAAATGGATATAACCCTGTCGTCGGTGTTGTGGTGGAGCCCTCAGCATGCAGGCTTCAGCCAGCATCTCCAGCCCCCCTCCCAGCCCCCCTGTGTGCGCAGCCCAGACCATCCCAGGGCTCCTCCTCAGCTTCTCCCAAAGTCGGGTCACCACAAATCTTGTGGGCACAGCCAGGTGCAGCCAAGGGACAGGATGGGGCTGTGCTGGCACTGGCAACCGCCGCATCTGTACGTCCTTCCTGTCCCCACACCAGGGTGATGATGTGCAACCTGGAGAAAGAGTCCCCAGGTGGGGACCTCCCATCTCCACTGCCTTTAGGATAATTCACATCGTGGTGCCCAAGATGTCCGGCGGGCTTTTGTTTGGTTTTTATTTTTGTTTTTTTTTTTTTTTTTTTTTTTTTTTTTTTTTTTATATATGTATTAAAGAGCTGCTATTACTTCATTGTCTTTCTTCCTCCTCCCAGGCAGTTTCAATATTATATGTAGCACAGCTACAGCTATGGCCTGTGTTTTATGGAGAAATTCACCTATAAGCTATATAAGTTGACACACTGATCCATAGGCATTTGAGACACTGTCCCTCCCTCCGACAGCGAAGGGGGGCAGCCCAAAGCACTGCCAAGAAGAGGCTGTGGGGTCTGACCCACATGCCTTCTCCTCCAACCGTGCGTGGTGGTACCAAGGCCACCACACAGTGACCGCACTGCTGGTCCCTTTGGTGTCCTCAAAGCTGAGGGCTTGCTGGGCTTTCCAGCCCAGCAGCACCATGTGAAGACAACAGCTGGGTTTGGAGGTTTGTTTTTTTTACAAAGATTTTTATTGGAAAAGAAAACAAACCCCATTTTCCAAAAGAAGTGAGAGCTCCCACCCACCACCAGCGTTGGTGGGCTGAAGGCAGAGGGGCTTCAGCAAGGACACACGGCTAGAAATGATGGAGGAGAGGGGACGCCGTGGTTCCTGGGGCTGGTGGCTTTGTTTTTCCCCAGCTGCTGCAGGATACTCCTGGATGCTGGAGGAAGCCCCCTGAGCTGAGAGCAGTCCTCACCTGAGTAAGGGGCATTCAACACCCAGCCCTCCCCTCCAGGTGGAGGTGCAGGGAGGCTCCCAGGCTCACCAAAGGATGTGCCAAAGGCAACTCGTTTGTGCTGGAGGGTGGAAATATGTGTGTTCCCCTCCCAGCTCTCCAGGTGCATCTCAGTGAACCCCAACATCAGCCATGAGTAGGATCCACCAGCAGAGATGGCGGGATGGGCAGCAGCCCCTCCTGCCCTGCTCTCGAGAGGCTGGCCCAATGTTTGCCCTAGGACTGAATGCCTCGTCTCCCCCATGACTGACTGTCTCCAGGGCATCAGAGCTTGTCTGCTGGATGCTGGATGCTTTCAATAGACACTTAAACCATTCATTACCCCAAAAAATGAAAAGAAACCAGGGCCAAATATTTGCCAGCCCTCTTGGACCAGGCTGGCTTGGGGCGTACTCATTGGGAGTCCTGCTGGCCCAGCCAGGCAGTCGAGATGGCACCCCAGCAGATGTGGCAAGCTCCTTTCTTTCCCTTCAGAGACACCATTGGACATCCTCATCCATGGACCAGGAGGAGAAATTTTTCCTTGGGCTTTGTCTATGCTCTCCCCTTCCTGCCCTCGGCCAGCAATTGGCTGGACGCACAGACAGACCAACCAAGCATCTCCCTCCTGGGTGAGGAGGATGAAACCCAGCCACCTCCTCCAAAGATGGAAACTAAAACTGTGAAGAAAAGCAAGTGGTGTGGTGCAGGACTTCTCTCCATGGCATGGGGGAACGTGGCCCCTGAGAAGTGGGCAGCAGCAACAGGGAAAATAACTGGCTTTGGGAGGGATGGGAGGAGCTGGGTGGTCTCAGAGGGGGTCGGGAAGAGGGTCTGCGATGTGGCATGGGTGCCCTGTGTCTCATCTGAGCCCTGAGTAGGTCCCCGTGGCCGGTGTAGGGAGGCCTGGTGCACGGATCCGGAGGTAGGAGAGGATGGTGGTGGCCCCCCCAGCCCCGCTCGTGCCCTGGGAGGTCCAGGGGAGGCCGAAGGAGCTGGCTGCTGAGCTTTGTAAATGGATATAACCCTGTCGTCGGTGTTGTGGTGGAGCCCTCAGCATGCAGGCTTCAGCCAGCATCTCCAGCCCCCCTCCCAGCCCCCCTGTGTGCGCAGCCCAGACCATCCCAGGGCTCCTCCTCAGCTTCTCCCAAAGTCGGGTCACCACAAATCTTGTGGGCACAGCCAGGTGCAGCCAAGGGACAGGATGGGGCTGTGCTGGCACTGGCAACCGCCGCATCTGTACGTCCTTCCTGTCCCCACACCAGGGTGATGATGTGCAACCTGGAGAAAGAGTCCCCAGGTGGGGACCTCCCATCTCCACTGCCTTTAGGATAATTCACATCGTGGTGCCCAAGATGTCCGGCGGGCTTTTGTTTGGTTTTTATTTTTGTTTTTTTTTTTTTTTTTTTAAACTGTTATGACAGCCCAACCCACCCTGAGACAAATAAAGACCTCGGACCAGAAACCAACCTCCGCCATGGCATGAGGAGTGAATGAGTCGTCACCCCATCACTCCCCACCGGTGACATTCCCTGCAGTGTTGTGGGTGGCAGCCCAACCTGTCCCTCCGACAGCGAAGGGGGGCAGCCCAAAGCACTGCCAAGAAGAGGCTGTGGGGTCTGACCCACATGCCTTCTCCTCCAACCGTGCGTGGTGGTACCAAGGCCACCACACAGTGACCGCACTGCTGGTCCCTTTGGTGTCCTCAAAGCTGAGGGCTTGCTGGGCTTTCCAGCCCAGCAGCACCATGTGAAGACAACAGCTGGGTTTGGAGGTTTGTTTTTTTTACAAAGATTTTTATTGGAAAAGAAAACAAACCCCATTTTCCAAAAGAAGTGAGAGCTCCCACCCACCACCAGCGTTGGTGGGCTGAAGGCAGAGGGGCTTCAGCAAGGACACACGGCTAGAAATGATGGAGGAGAGGGGACGCCGTGGTTCCTGGGGCTGGTGGCTTTGTTTTTCCCCAGCTGCTGCAGGATACTCCTGGATGCTGGAGGAAGCCCCCTGAGCTGAGAGCAGTCCTCACCTGAGTAAGGGGCATTCAACACCCAGCCCTCCCCTCCAGGTGGAGGTGCAGGGAGGCTCCCAGGCTCACCAAAGGATGTGCCAAAGGCAACTCGTTTGTGCTGGAGGGTGGAAATATGTGTGTTCCCATCCTACCTCTCCAGGCGCATCTCAGTGAACCCCAACATCAGCCATGAGTAGGATCCACCAGCAGAGATGGCGGGATGGGCAGCAGCCCCTCCTGAGGGGTGGGTGGGTTAGCTCTCTACAACACTAGCAATTAAAACAAGGCATCTCAGTGAAAGAAGAGGTCATGGAAAGGAAGAAGGAGAGGAGGAGGAAGACTGGAGTGCAGGCTGGCTGCAGCTGGGCTTCCAGCCCTGTGGGCGCCATGTCAAGGGGCCGACGTGGACGTTGGCTTCCCACTCTAGTCCTTCCCTTTGCCCTTCTTTGCTGCATCCAAGAAAAACAAATTATAAGAGTTAGTGTGTCCACCAACAGTTCACCGACCCTTCCCAGGTGCTGCCATGGCAGAAATGTAGCCAGCATGGCCAGCTGAGCATCTCCCCACCCATGCCAGTGAGGAAAGAGGGAAGTCCCTGTCCCACCAAAGCTGGCAGTGACTTGGGAAGGGGGGACACCAGGGTTTTTCCTGGTGGCACCTGCATCCCACCCAGCCAGCAGCTGGATTTTGAGGCTGTCACATGTGCTGACACAGAGGGAAGAGCATCCTACGTGATCCCCCACACCACAAAGGGTGAAGGTAACCCCCCCAACCAAGACCCCCTGCCTGGGGTCCCAGCAGGACCCTTTAGGGGATGGGAGCAGCGGGGACTGACCTTTGGACTTCGACTTGATCTTGGAAGAGCAGGGCTTGGTCACATAGACGATCTCCTCACACTGGGCATTGTACAGGGCTTTCTTCAGGATGCCGGAGCGAGTCTTCACACCCGTCTGAGGGCTACACCCCCCCCAGCTCTCAAATTTGTACTTGCAGTCGGCTGGAAGAGAGGGGATAAGGTGTCAGAGCCCAGAATGACCCGGCGCGACCACCAGCCCCAGCCATCCGGCCCAGGGTGGTCCCCAGCCACCCCCTCACCTCCAAACTTCTTCTTCCAGTTGCAGGGGATCTTGCACTTGAGCTTCTTACTCTCGTCTTTGCAAGTTCCCTCGCGGTACCCCAGGCCGCAGTCCTTGCTGTTGGGGACGCAGGGTCCCCAGCGCCAGTCCTCGCACTCAGAGCCATCCTTCTTGGCCTTCTCTGCAAGGGAAGGGGGTGTGGGTGCTCGCTGTGGGGGCACGGGACCACATCCTGTGCTGCCACCGGGCACCAGGCCCCCTGCCCCAGGTTGCTCCTCACCTTTCTTGTTCTTGCCAGCCTCGGCGGTGGCAGCCAGCAGGACCAGCGCCAGGAGGAGGAGGAAGGCCCGGATCTGCATCCTTCCTGGGGAGGAGGGAGAGGCTGAGGCAGGCGAGGTGTTGGGGCCACCATGCAGGTGGCAAGGAGGGGGCACGGTGAGCGAGACAACAGCTACCTCCATCACACGCGTGCACCTGTGTGTGTGCATGGGCATCTACTCCACCATGCCCTGCTCATTGCCACCCATTAGGGTATTAATTGCAACGGGAAGGTTAATTGCACATCTCAGTAACTGCCTCCCATCCCTGCAGCCCCTCATTGCACTGTCTGTGGCCGAAATGCTCCCCGTGGGGACCCCTGCACCCCACACAGCAGCTGGGAAAGGACCTTTGGTTGGGTCTGCCCCTGGAAAGCCAAGTAGCCCCCTCCTGCACGCTGGCAGCGGGGGGTCCTGCTCCCCGGAGCCCTTACCCTGCTGTATTTCTCCATGGCTCCTTTATCCAGGCCCCAGCAGGCTGCCACCCCACACCAAAGAGCCCCAGGGCCAGGGGAGCCCAGCTGCCATGGTACCCTCCTCCGGCTCCGGAGGAATCCGGGGAGGGGGGTGGGAAAGAAAAAAAGCCCAGCAAAACCAAACCCACTGCCATGAGGGGTCTGAGAGCTAAAGCAGTGGATTAAATACCAAAAAAAAAAGCAAAAAAAAAAAAAGCTAAGAGCCCCCACAGCGTGGGAGAGATGGAGCAGGAGAGCTGCGCCCGCTGTTGGCACCATGGCCACCAGCACAGTGCCAAGGGTGGTGGTGGTGGTGGGGGAATGTGCACACGTGTGTGCACCTGGGCCCCCACAGCGTGGGAGTTTGTGGGAGAGATGGAGCGGGAGAGCTGCGCCCGCTGCTGGCACCACGGCCACCAGCACTGTGCCAAGGGGGGTGGTGGTGGTGGGGGGAATGTGCACACGTGTGTGCACCTGGGAGCAGGTTGGGGACGAGGGTGCACACACACGAGGGTGCACACACACGAGGGGGCAGCTCCTAGGACCCCGTCCATCCCCCCCCTCCTCCTGCTCCAACCCGGTGGCCTTGGGCCAGGTGATGGCTCCCCTCTGGCTGCTACCATGAGCATGGGGGGCTGAGCTCCTGCCCCCCAGCAAGTCTGGTGGCCCCCATCTCTGCTTCCCCAAAGCCTTTTAGGATGACACCCATATCTGCCTGGCAGCAGCCAGCCAGCAAATACATCCTGCCTGCCCCAGCTCCAGGATGGACTTGGTGGGACGGGGCTGTTAGAGATCAGGATCCACCGTGTGCCCCAAGGGACATCAGTGGAGGGAAGAGCCTGAGGTCAGCGCTTGGTCCCTGCCCCCCAGCTCCCCGGGGCAGCCGGCCGGAGAGAGCAGCTCCCTGCATTATTCAGGCTCCAGTGCACTCACCTTTCATGCGTCCGCCGCTGCGAAGCCGCGACCGGCTTCGCTCTGCATTGAACTGTCAGAGGGAATTACACAGCCCAGCTGGCTGAAGGCACAGCCCGGGGTGGGGGGGGTGGGGGGGCGAGAGCTGCCTTCCCCCTCGCCCAGCCTGGCTGAGAGCCATCCTGCCCAGCACGGCGCAGCTCAGACCTGCTCCCACCCTTCAAAGGGGGCAAGAGCTCTGCCCGGATGGGCCGGTTGCAGATGGCAAGGCTGGGGGCTGAGCTGAGTTATGGGCACTCCTCACCCACTTTCTGCAGGAGCTTGGGTAGGGGCAGCATCCCCATCTTGGTTTCAGGTGCTGCTCTGTGAACTTCTTCCATCCTCTGCTGAGGAGCACTTCCCTCTGCTCCTCCCAGCCCAGCTCCTCTGAGTGTCCCAGGGCAGACAGCCCCAGCTGCCCTGCTCACCCCTCCATGGACACCCTCTGCCCCCACCGTGTGTCCATGTGTACACAGGGATGTGGGGAGGGGAGATGTCTCCAAGGGGAAGCCCAGCTCACAGCCCCAGGGACTCCTGGATCTGCTCCCAGGATCTGCCCGGCACATCGTGCCCCCGAGGCAAAGGTCTGCAGGGACCCTCAGCCACAGCTTGTCCTAAAGCATTCATCAGGGAAACGCTTTAGGATGAGCTTTTCATAAATAAGGGAAAGAGAGAGAACAGTTTTCCAATTAATTTTCCAAAACAGCCTGATCCCTTCTCTGCCAGTCAAACAGGAGCCGTTCCGGGGGTCAGGCTGCCAGTGCCTTCAGGCGTGTTGGCAGTGCCCAGCTCCTCCAGCGTCCTGCAGGGCCCTGGCTCCTCTCCTGCTCGGATCCCAGCTGGATCTCACACCCTCTCGGGCTCTCCCAGGAACGGGCTGCAGGAGCGGAGCAGCCTGGAGCCTGGATACAGCACGGTAGTCCTCATTTCCCCTCCCGTAGCTGCCCTGGGTTTGAACAACCTAAGATCAGCTCTATGAAAAATAAAATAAAATAAAATAAAATAAAATTAAAATAAAAATCACCTGGTGATACTGAAGCAGAGCCCAAATACCCACTACTGCACCCATCTCCGGATGCTGCCCACGGGCAGGCAGTGCCACCAGCAAGTGCTTCTCCTGTGATGGCCCACGCCATCCTCCCCAGCTCCTGTCCCCCTTGGTGCCACCCCGACGCTCTCCTGGTCCCCCTCTTCCAGCAGTGGGACCCCATGGGACTCCCTTGGCATCTGGCTCCAGCAGAGGTGGGCACAGGATTAGGGGAGCCCGGTGATGGGGGAGCCCATGGCTTGGGGCACCCACTGTCCCACCAGCAGGGATCTTCCTGCTGCCAGGAGAGGGGAGACTGAGCTTTTCCCCCTCAGCCAAGGCAGGGAGCAGGGGGCACTTGGGGGGGAGCGGAGCCCAGGGGGCCTCACCCTCCCCTCGCAGCGAGGAGAAGGTGCTATGGGGGGGGGGAAAGGGTTGCTTTAAGTTCTGCCTGGGCACTGTGGGGCAGAGAGGGGGGCTTCCTCTGCTCCCTCCCCAGGGCAGCCCCTTCCCCACATCCCTTCCCTCGCCCCCCGGGGGAGAGGCAGCTCCCCGGGCTCCGGCCGGAGCATCATCTCCCACCGCCGGATCCCTCCCCGAACTGGTGTGGGGTGCCCCCCAAGGAGGAAAGGAGGGGGGAGAAAGGTGGGGGGGGCCGGCTAAGACCCTGACCCACCGCCCCAACCCCTGCATGCTCTCCAGGAGCCCCTCCAAAACTCTTTCCTCCCGCACCTCCAGGCACTTCCCCGGCTCCCCACACCTGGGGGGCTGCCACCGCCGGGCCCCCTGCCCCAGCCGCCCTTCCCGCAGCTCCTCCACCCCAAAAAGCCCACTGGGGTGTGTGTGTGTGGGGGGAAGCCCTCAGCCTGAATTACCACCCCAAGGGAGTCGAGGCGGGGGTTGGGGG